ATGGACTAGGGAAGAAAATATGGGACTTATTAGCCGTGCACGATCAAAGCGTGACCGGTGCGCGGTTGCAGAGAAACTTCTAAGAGTTGCGCAACCTATCCGTGACCACTGACCATTGTGCTGCGTGGAGCAACTCCAAAGAGTGGAGCGATCTTAAATCCGAAACTTGTTACCCTCTATCCTAGTTTATGTGTCATACTTTCATTTTTAGTCTATCTTAAAAGAATGTCATACTTTCTTATTAAGAAACAATCAACTTTAACTTTACATTTTAACCTTAATGAGGTGATTTATACCTACACAAATGTTTATTGCTTGTTTTAGACCACAAGTTATATTTTCTCAAACACCACTTGTCAAACACCGCCAGATAAATTGGGCAGAGGGAGTATATTTTTTCTTCTATTGAGAAGCTTATTGGCTCAAACACTTGGGGTATTTAAAAGGGATTGTAATTGGGGATCTCATGTACCATTTCCTTTCTTTCACAGTGGACAACTCTCTTCAGCTTCTGCCTCAAGGATGTAGGCTTGTCTGAACTTCATAAGATTCTTGTGTTATTTTCTGCTCTCAGTTTTCTTTATGTGTGATTGTGTGCTATTAACCGCCGGTGTTTTGCAACACTTTTCCGAATGGAAGTATGTTTATCTGTGCAATGCTGCTCTCTTGGTAATGTTGGATTTGACTTGAGGTATTATGTATTCACTTTGCAGAAAAATGTAGATGAAGCAGTAAAGACACTTAGTGATCGAGGAATTGAAGTCTTTGGATTAGTATGTCATGTGTCGAATGCACAACAGAGGAAGAATTTGATAGAGAGGACCATTCAGGTATGAATGATATTGTACACTGTCCCTATATTCCGGCCTGACCCTTGAATTGAAATTTAAAATTGTGACTTCAGTTCAGAATTTTGTATCAATGGGGTGTCTTTTAGGTCTATTGGTGTTTGTAATCTTCTTAAAAGCTCATATTTGGACCAACTGAATCTGTTTTGATTTATATGTTTATGGCCAACTGTAACAAACTCTTTAGTGTGCGAAGCAATTACTTGTAATTCCCCTTTTCTGTTGTTTTTTGCTTAAGGGTGTTTCTAAGGGAGTATAACCATTGAACCAAAGGTCCAGGTGCACTGGTGCAGCTATTTCTTGAATCAGGTGGATAAGAATAGGTCGTAGAGTCTCTGTACATAATTTTTTATAGGCAAATGGTTCACAAAGTAGTAGTTTCTCTTATCTTTCTAATTACTAGCAAGTGCAAATAAGACTTAAGTGATTGAAAAGGGTCATTGGGTGAGATTTTAGGACCTAAAAGAGAGCTTCGATAGGCTCTTGATTTAGGAGGCACCTGTTTCAGAAAAAATATCTGGGAGTAGTTTTACACTTTTGTAAAAACTGAAGAACGTTTCTCTATTGACGTTTCTTACACCTGTATTTTGAACAAACGCCACCTTAGTTATCAGTTCATGTACAGGTATTAGGCGTATTTCATCAAGGTTCTTAGGTATCTTATTTGTTTATCTGTCAGATTATGCTTACATCTAAAATTACATAAGATCTGTTACAACATATGTAGTTGCTCTGCAGGAGCGTAAAGTCACCATTTTATTGTAAAAATGAAAGTTTTATCTATTCTTAAACCCCTTCATTTCCATATCTGAAGTTCAGCAGGCATTCTATTTCCTACTCTTAATTTTCACAATTCTTCAATTGTCAAATCTTGATTGGGATCCCGATCAGTGAGAAACGTTGGATTATTTTCCGTTATCCTAGTTTATATTTTCCTCAAATTAACACTTCTTGGTCTGTGCTTACATCTCTTGGAGGTCAAATGTTTATTTGTCTCCTTGGGAATGGTTTTTAGATCTTTGTAAGGCTAATTGCCTTTTTCTGATGTCTAGCTACGAAAAATGAGTAGTCAATGCTGTTTTACTTCGTATGATCTAGCTTTGTTGATATAAACTTGTAATTTTTCCAGAAATATGGGAAATTAGATGTGGTTGTGTCAAACGCCGCTGTCAATCCTTCAGTGGATGCAATACTAGAAACAAAAGAATCAGTCCTTGACAAGCTGTGGGATATCAATGTCAAAGCCTCTATACTATTACTACAAGTAAGTTGATGAGAGTAAATCCAAGAAAACATTGATGCAAATGTATGTTTTACTTCCTGGAGCATTTATCAAATATATTATAGGATACTAACTATTTGTTCTCTATCACATCTTTCCATTAATTTCAAATTCCTCTGTCCAAATGCTAACTTTTTCATGTTTTGGCCATTGCGTATAATATTCTGCTCTTTCTGCCGCTTATATAGGATGCAGCTCCTTACCTTAAGAAGGGCTCGTCAGTTGTTTTAATTTCCTCAATTTCTGGTTATTCACCACCAGCTTCCATGGGTATGTACGGGGTGACAAAAACTGCGCTTCTTGGACTTACCAAGGTACTGATGTTCAAGTTGGTATACCTGGCACATAAGTAACTATATCCTATTAGCTTTCTTCTTATTGTCTTGTGTGGAATGCCAGGCTCTAGCATCTGAAATGAGTCCGGATACTCGTGTAAACTGTGTAGCTCCAGGTTTTGTACCTACACACTTTGCTGATTTCATCACGCAGAATGAACATGTGGTAATTTAAATCTCTTACTCAATGATAAGACAAGATGAATATTCATTGTTTATTTTGTTAACTAATTGCTGATTGTGTATAGAGGAGAGAGATTGAGGGTAAGACACTACTCAATAGGCTTGGGACAACACAAGATATGGCTGCAGCTGTTGCTTATTTGGCTTCTGATGACGCTGCTTATGTAACCGGAGAAACTCTGGTTGTCGCTGGAGGAATGCCTTCCAGACTTTAACCTATTGATTGTGGTGCCTCTCCCCCCGGTTTTAGCTCCCTTGTGTCACTCTCGGAGGACATGCTTATGGTGTCGAAGAATAGAATATTCTAAAGCATTCGCTTCTGGATTAGTAAAATGTCTGATATATTGCTTTACAAGTACACGTGAAAACTGGGGTAGAGTGCTATACCATTTACCCCTTACCGTTACTTCAATGTATTTTATAAATTACTACCTTCTCTGCCATTGGTTGAGACCGCTGAAAGCATCGACGTAGGCAAGGCAGCAGAACAATAACAACCCAGTATAATCCCATAATATCACGACCCGGGTTTTCCACCCTCGGGAGTCGTGATGGCGCCTACTAGTGAAAGCTAGGCAAGCCAATTAATCCAATTATTTAACCATCTTCATTTTTAATCCCTTAACAATTCCAAAACAACAACATAATAAAAGCAGTGGAAATAATAATAATAGAAACAGTGCGGAAGACGAAATTTGATAATTTCGATTAATACAAACTGCGAAAGTTTAAGTACAACCCTACCCAGAATTGGTGTCACAATCTCACAGACTGTCTAAGAATACTATAAATAAGGTCTGAATAGAATTACACGAATCTGTCTCCGAATAAGTAAAAACAAAAAGAAAATGATAGAAGGAGACGCCAAGGCCTGTGGACGCCTGCAGGACTACCTCAGGTCGCCTGACGGTCTAGAAGCAGCAACCTCACTATGGTCCAAAAGCTGCAGCACCGGGATCTACACACAATGCAGAGTGTAGTGTCAGCACAACCGACCCCATATGCTGGTAAGTGCCTAGCCTAACCTCGGCGAAGTAGTGACGAGGCTAGGACCAGACTACCAAATAAACCTGTGCAGTTAAATCATATATACAGCGGAAAAGTAAAGGCAGAAATTTACAAGTAAAGATGGGAGGGGGAAAACATGCTGCGGGGGAAATCAAGCAACAACAGAAAACCAATAAATAATCGTAAAAAACACCATAACTCAATTATCAGCAAGAATCAGGAAATCAAAGACAAGTGCACGGCATCACCCTTCGTGCTTTTACTCTCTTCCTCACCATATGAACCAATATAATCGGCGCGGCATCACCCTTCGTGCTTTTACCTCACATAATCATGGCACGAAATTATCCTTCGTGCATTATCACTCATATCATGGCACGGCATTGTACATCGTGCGGCACGGCATCACCCTTCATGCTTTAACCTCACAATGTCGGCACGGCATCACCCTTCGTGCATTAACACTCTCTCATAAATATCATGCACGGCATCACCCTTCGTGCTTTTACACTCTTCCTTACCCAAACAACAATCACAAGAAAATAAGGGCAAGAGAATCAATAAAATCACAACAAAATCCCGACAAGGGAACAATAGTATAACAACAATATCCCGGCAAGGAAAAACAATATCAAAGGCAATAACATCTCGGCAAGGGAGATAATATCAAAAACAATAACATCCCGGCAAGGGAGACAATTTCATAAACCTCTTCTCCTTTCCACAATTACTTCACAACTTGAGCCAACGCTCTAAAATGTTCAATTACCAATAATACTTCCACAAATCAATTCACAACTTGAGCCAACGCTCTTCAATGTTCAATTACCAATAATACTTCCACAAGCCTTGTTCAACAATAGATATCATCACATAAAGCATGAACAATACGAAACGGAGTCACATTTACCATAGTATAAGACTCACGGGCATGCTTGACACCGACGTATAGATACTCGTCACCATGCCTATACGTCGTACTCAAGAATTAACACATCAAATAAGACACGACTCCTAATCCCTCAAGCTAAGGTTAGACCAAACACTTACCTCGATGCTATGAACACAATTCAAGCCTCAACTACCGTTTTACCTCTTGTTTCCACCACCAATTCGCTTGTATCTAGCCACAATTTAATTAATACTATTAATAAATGCTAAATGAATCAATTCTAATGCATAAAAATGGGTTTTCAAATGATTTCCCAAAAAGTCAAAAATCGACCCCCGGGCCCGCTTGGTCCAAACCCGAAATTCGGACCCAAACCCGATTACCCATTCACCCCCGAGCTCGGGTATACTATTGGTTTTGGAATCTGACCTCAATTTGAGGTCTAAATCCCCAAATTTCAATATTCCTAAGTTCTATCCAAAATTCCCAATTCCACCTTGAAAACCCTAGATTCTAGGATGAAATCTTGTAAAAGAAGTTAAGGAGTGAAAGAAATGAGTTTAAAATCACTTACTTGTGTTTTGGGGAAGAAAGAGTATTTGAAAAATCGCCTCTTATGTTTTAGGTTTTTGAAAAATGAAAAATGGCTGAAAAGTTCCGTTTATATACTCCTCTCAGATCCTCACCGCGGATCGGATGAAAAGGACCGCGGCCGCGGAGCTCCACCGTGGACCGCGAAATATCGAGCGCGGCTGCGAAGACATAGCCTTGCTCACCGCGGACCGCAGAGAATCCCACCGCGATCGCGAAGACTCCACCGCGGTCGAGAACATTTACTGCGGACCGCGAAGCCTGGTTCAGAGACCTGCAACTTCTCTGAACCTGCAACAGTTATTTTCCAAGTCTAAATGCACTCCGTGGCCCATCCAAAACTCACCCGAGCCCTCGGGGCTCCAAACCAAACATGCACGCAAGTCCAAAAACATCATACGGACTTGCCCGTGCGATCAAATCATCAAAATAACATCAACATCTATGAATTAAACCTCAAATTCATAAAATCACTCAAGAACATCAAAATTATTATTTTCTCAACTATAAGTCCGTTTTATACCAAACCAATTCCGATCTTTACCAAATTTTACGGATTCAATTTAATCATTATTTCAAACTTGTACCGGGCGCCGGAACCAAGATACGGGCCCGATACCATCAAGAAAATGCATCAATTCACTTCTAAAAACCTTTATATTTCCAGAAAATAATTTTCTTTAAAAATTCATTTCTCGGGCTTGGGACCTCGGAATTCGATTCCGGGCATACGCCCATGTCCCATATATTACTACGGACCCTACGAGACCGTCGGATCACGGATCCGGGTTTGTTTACCAAGAATGTTGACCAAAGTTAACTCTATTCAATTTTAAAAAAAATAATTTCCTTATTTTACTCAGTTTTTCACATAAACGCTTTTCGAAAACGCGTCCGGACTGCGCAAGCAAATCGAGGTGAGACAAAAAAAAGGTTTTTAAGGCCTCGGAACACAGAATTTACTTTCAAAACGAGTGACGACCTTTTGGGTCATCACACATAATCCCACAAGTGTAGTTTTGGGAGGGTAATGTGTACGCAAACCTCACCCCTACCCTATGAGGTAGAGATGTTGTTTTCGCTAGACCCCTCAACACAAGAAGATGAAAAAATGCAGCAGAACAGAAAGAGAAACAAACTCTTTATTAACTGGTGATGGTTGAAACATGGAGCTAATGAAATGAAGAGAGTAATATTACTGATACAATTACAAGAGAAGCGTAATGCTTATAATATAGAACTCATTATTTTACACAGGAATCCACAGCCGAATGTGCATATGAAATGAAAGCTAAAGCAAAAATATGAACATATATAAATACCTTGATAATTTATGTACATAGAAGTATCTAAAACCAAACCAGAAGTGAAATATGCACGATACAACACGACTAGCTGCTTGAGGTAGAAGGCTTTTCCTCCTCTTCTTTCTAGATCTCTGCTAAATTAGCGAAAACGTGGGAAAACTAACTTCAGACATCTACAATCTTCAACTTTCCCTGCTCATGTTCCCTGTTTGATGTTACACTTGAATCTTTGCACTGGCACAACCAAGGAGGTTTTGCTGTCCCCATATTGCCATCTGATTCACTCTATCGTCATGACTCATCAGAAATCAAAATTGAAACTTTATGAGCAAACTTATACAGGGATCACATCTGAATTTTGACTGTCATCGCACGTCAAGATGAGACCTTCGATGTAAGTAGGGAGAAGACAACGGGTCCACTGACAGCCTGTTGAAATAGGCTCCGCTGGTGGAACAATCATTAGGACATTCTCATGGCGCCTTACAACACCCATGACGCTTACTGTGCTCCCTTCTTTGATGTAACTGTCATTAGGAGCAACCACAATGAATGAGCCAACACTCGGAAGGTTGTCACATAATTTATAATAGAGGCACATAAATATGAAAGCCCATGCGAAATCATCTGTCAAGTTCATGAATTGCACAGATAAACCCACAACTTACCCTTCTTTGAGGCGCATTATGCGCTCATCACTCGAGAGGCTCCGATCAGCAAGCCAGCGCAGGAAGTTTGGAGACAACTCTTTGTTACTCTTTGTTACATCAATAACTGTTGTCGGCTTGACAAATGGGGCAACTTTCGCTCCATAACCTGCCTTCACCATAGCTCTTAATCCAGACTGGAAGTCTGAGATATAGAAATCAGCTACATATTTCTGTTTTCAAGAGATAAAAGCAACCATGAATCTTCGATTGGAGTTTTTGGACAAACGATTAGGAGTTAGGCCAATACAGAATCACAAGGATTAACTATCACTAACACTACAGCAATAGCCATGTCAACAACCATGCAAAAGCTAACCAGCCGAAGCCTAAGTAGAACAGTTAGCATATGATGAAGCTTCTGATATTCAAGTCTAATAGTTAGCATATGATGTTGCTCAGGCCTTTGGATATATTCTATGAACTTGTAGAGATTAGCATGTTATTAGTTGTTCAACCTTGAACATTGACAGTCCAAGGGCCCCGCATGCCCCGGCTCCCAACCTTTCAGCTCTTAAAGCTAATACAACTTTATTCAAGTTCCTACATGATAAGTGTACAAATACTTTGGAATAACTTGGAAGCATTACAAAATTCTCACGGGGACAAATTGATACAAGGACCAACAGCAAGTATATCTTTGCAACTGTGTTATAAAAGAATAATGTGATACTTGAGATAAAATTCTGAGATGGGTGACCAATTCATTTTTCCAAGCAAGCCTGGAAATGCTCAAATAGTAAATAAATGCAAGCTAACCTCCGAATGCCTACGTCCCCATGAGAAGCAATGGTGGCTAGGATGCGCAGATTTACCACCCCAACCTTTGTATTCATACAGTTCCGTAGAAGTATATACACATCTTGGTATCTGCTGAAAGGAAGTTTCAAGTGGGATACTTCCACAAGTGACAACCTACACATAACAATATATTATAC